TGTTTTTGTTGTTGCGGTTGGTGTTGTTGGTGTTGTTGTTATTGTTGTTGTTGTTGCTGTTGTTGTTGCTGTTGTTGTTATTGTTGATATTGTTGTTCTTGTTTTTGTTTTTGTTTTTGTTCTTGTTTTTGTTCTTGTTTTCGTTCTTGTTCTTGTTTTTGTTTTTGTTTTTGTTGTTGTTGTTGTTGATGATAATGATGATGGTGGTGGTAGAGCAGAGGTGGTGGTACTGTTGGTGTTGCTGTTATGCCTGTAGTTTTTTCTTTCGGTTCCTTAGTGGCCGAAAATCGTTAAATAGGTAGTATTTTCGTGCGTTTTTGGAATTTTTGGAGCCAAAAATATTGTAAATACTAATGTGTTGGGTGGATTGGAAGCCCAAAACCACGGTATTTACGATACTTTTTTGCTTTTGGTAGCAAAAAGCACGGTATTTACAATGGTTTTTGGCCAGCACCTAGCAAAAACACTGGTATTTACGGATGTTTCATCATATAACAAAATGTAGTTTCTTGATCCGAAAAAACAAAAATATTGTAAATTACAATGTTTTGAGTCTGCTCTTAGGGTTTATGGGAGGTATGGAGGAGGGGGGGAACTAAAATAACTAGTAATTTCCTGAATAATCAGATAACGGGGCTGACCGCCCTCCCCTTTACTTCATAAAATAAAATTCAAGGTAGCCCCTCTGGACCTACCTTTCGTGAACAATGGTAGTGGTAGTGTTAGTACTAGTGGTAGTGGTAATAGTAATAGTAGTAGTAGTAGTAGTAGTAGTAGTAGCAGCAGCAGTAGTAGTAATAGTAGTAGTAGTTGTTGTTGTTGTTGTAGCTGTCGTTGTAATTGTAAATATAGTTATCATTGTAATCGTAATAATAATAATTATTATTATAATAGTAGTAGTAATAGTAGTAGCAGTAGCAATAACAAGAATATGAGTAGCAGTAGTAGCAGTAATAGCAATAGTAATAATAACAATGGTAGTGGTAACGGTAGTGCTAGTGTTAGTGCCAGTGGTAGTAGTAATAGTAATAATAATAGTAGTAATAATATTACTACTAATATGTAGTAGCAACATTAGTAGTACTGCCAATAATAGTAGTAATAATGCCAACATTATCCATAATAATAGTAATAATATCAATAATAGCAATAATAGTAGCAGTAGCAATATTGGCTACTGGTAGTAGTAATACTAGTACTAACAATAATAGTATTAGTACTAAATTTAATAATAATAATAACAATAATAATAATAACAATAATAATAAGAAGAAGAAGAACAAAAA